CAGACAGGCCCCTGTGTCCTGGCAGGGACTGCTCTCCTGCTTTGCTCAGGGAAGCCACCCGGGGGCGGGCCCTGCGGCTTTCTGGCTTCACAAGCCGACAGGAAGTCCCTTGCCTTCAGACACATTCACAAAACTTCCAGCCGGAGGAAACAATGGGGAAGTATCTCCAGGAAAAGGGGTGCAAAAGATAGAGAAGCAGCGAGGCAGGTAAAACACACCGCCACCCCCTGGGCCAGCCCCCCCTTACCAGCGCACGGTGGTCCGTGCCCTGCCGGGGCTCCCAGCGGACTCCCAGCCCCGCCCCTCGCCCACGGCGCTGCTGGTGGCCATGGTGCCTGCACCTTACTACCCAGACACCAGCGAGTCCATCTCAACAGACACAGCCGGTGGAGGCATCGAGCGTCCCAGGGCCCGCCGAACTAGAAGAGGGTCGCCCGAAGCAGTGGACGGGACAGAGGACGGGACAGGCACTCAGGCCAAGGCCCCAGCACAGAAGCTGCTTTCTCGGCCCCTTCCTCTGCTTGTCCCAAACATTTCTGCTTCCTTTGCCTGTCCAAGCCCCTTGGGTGAACGATGGAGAGCAGGCCGAAGGGACAAGTTCAGGGACAGAGGAGGGGAAGCCAAAGAGATAAGAGGGGCGGGGAAGGTGCAGAGCCCAGGCCTGCAGGGAGCCCAAGCTGGGGGGCTGACCGACCGCAGAGGCTGGAGGAGGAGGCATTGTCCCAGCTCCGCACAGGGGCCCTTTTGTTCCCCCGCACCAACAATGGGCCTGTTTTCTTGCTTTGCTCCTTCTTCAGTGGGCGGGGTGGGGGGGGGTGGCGCTCAGAAAGGAAGGCAGCTCCCCCAGTGAGGGACCAGCACAGTGCAGGCCAGAGCAGGTCGGAGAGGCCTGAACAGAAACGAGGGGCGTGCGGACTCCCTGGGGCCCCGCAGGCTGAGTGGGGAGAACAGAGGGTGACCAGAAGGGCCTTGTTTGTTCCCTCCACCTTCCTCCCCTGCCAGCCCCCACCGCCTCTCCTCCCCGGACCCCACAGAGTCTGGGAAGGGCCTTCAATGGGACGGAGGGACTGGGCTCCGTGGGTGTTTCAGAAGGTTCTTTCCCGCTCCTGCCACAACCAGCTCTAACTCTCAGCACCTGGGAGCACGACAGACGGGACGGCACTGTGGTGCCAGGGACACAGACCATGGGTGGATGTGTCTGCAGGTCCCCATCAGAGAGCAGGACGGATGGGGCCGGGCTATGAAGAGGCCGGCACTCCTGAGGGCCAGCAGTGGACTGAGGCCTCATCGTCCTCTGAGGACACTCAGGGAGGGCCCTGGGGGTGGGGAAGGGAGGGATGGATGGATGGACGTAGACACGGAGGGAGGGTGCTGAGCAGGAGGGGCCGGAGGCTGGTGCCGAGGTGGCTGTGGTGAGCTCACAGTGAGCTGCTAACCCACCATTGGGAGCGCGTTTTCCTTGATCCACTTTTGTCTCCTCAGTAGTTGCTAACCTTGACCCAGCCCGCTGGGCTGACCATGAACTTCCTTCTCCTCCCAGGTGACGCTGCCTCCCTCCAGTGTTATCTGTCAATTCTGAGCCCCAGGGTGGCCCCTGCCGCCCACCCCGCCCACATCCAGGGCACTAGAACCCGTGTCCCAGGCTCTTGTCTTGGGGACTTGGGGTTCCAGCTCCTGGCTCCCCCGTGAGGTGGGGCGGGACTTCCCCTCTGCAGTCTGCCCTTGGTTCCATAAACCTGCGTGGCCAGCACTGCACAGCAGGGGCCCTGGAGCCCGTGGGAACATGCAGGCCAGCTCCCAGTGTGCAGCCGGCTCCTGGGCCTTCACAGGAATGACCACTGGGTGGGTGTCCCTGCCTCCCAGTGGCCCTGTACCTTTCCAGCCCTCTCTGAACATGTGGGACCTCGTGCGGAGCTGGGCCCCAACACCCAGCTCCGGAGCCCGGAGGGACTTTCTGGGTGACAGGAGAGTGTTGGTCTAATGAGGGGACTCTGGGTGGCTACCCGGCAGGATGTGGCCACCAGAAAGGGCTGGAGATGGAGGTAACCATGGATTGTGAGGAAGCCCCAGGAAATCCCAGTAGCAGGCATTTGGGCAGGTGGGCGCCTCCCCGTGGGAGGTGACAAAGCCCACCTCCATCCAGGGGCAGAAGCAGCAGGCGGGCCACTCCAGCCCTGCCCTGTGCCCCTCCTCATGCAGGTGGCTCACCTGTGCCCTTCAGCTCGGCCTTGCATTCGCCAGTAAACACAGGTGTTTCCCCTGCAGCAAATCAGCCAGACCCAGGAAGGGACTGGGGACCTGTGACCTGCACCTGGGGACATTGAAGGGGATGCTCGGGTGACCACGTGGGGCTGAGCTGTGCCTCTGAGGGGTGGGGCCCACTCTCCCCAACTGTACACAACCCTTTCTCAAAAAAAGCAAGCCTCCCCAGCTCCTGTATTTTCCTTTTTTTTTTGGTCAAAGCAGGAAGTAAATAGAACTGTTAAATGTATAAGTAAAATGAATAAAGTTTAGTGTTCTGCATGGTAAAAAAATTAAATGTAATTAAACACAAATATCACATACTTCCACCTTCCCTGAAAGGGTCCCTTCATCCTAATTGAAGAGAATGGGAACAATTACGACCTAAGTGTTCATTATGCGACGCGTGTGTTTGGACAAGTTTGGGCAAACAGCAGAGATTTCGACGTCCGTCCACGACCGAAGAACACTCTGAAAGCGCTGAAACCAACTCGGTTCTCCCCTCGCAGTTCAACGCGAGCTGCCGAAGCACAGCAAGGACTCGCGGGTCCTCTGACTCTCAAGGCGGCCCGGGCGGACCGCGGGTTGCGTGGGGGCTGCGCGGGGCACTGAGCCAAGTCTCCGCGCCGCGCACCCGCGGGACGGGGCCCAGCCTCACTCGGGTCCCGCCGCCGCAGTCCCGAGTTCCTAAGGACTCCAGGGAGTCGCCAGGGCGCGCCCGGCGGCTGCGCGGCCTCCTGGGACTAGACTGGTCTCTCCGCACCTCCCCCGGCAGCCAGCCCTCGGCGGGCTCCGCCTCTGCTCCGCAAGCCCTCGGCTGCGCCCGTCCACCCTCGGGTCTTTCCGGCCGCAACGCTCGGCCCTCCCCGCCACCACCGGCTCTCCTCGTCAATTCTCGGCCGCTGAGGGCGCAGCTGCCCTTCCGGGCGCAGCCGGAGCTCCTCGGGTCCTCTCGCCCTCAGTCCACGCCAGGCAGGGGGACGCGTTCCACGCAGCTGGCCGCACTCGTTGTTCTCGTCGCCCGGGCCGGGCACAGAGGGTATCACGCCCAGCAGGGCGACCAAAATTAACTACACTTTATCACATACTTGAAAGTTGGTTAGAGAGTAGATCTTGAAAGCCCTCATCACAGGAGAAAATGTGTCTCTACGCGTGGTGACCGACATCAACCAACCCCGCGGGTGATGGACGCGCGATTCATGTACACACCGAATCGTTACGCTGCTCACCTGCAACCACGCAATGGGCGGGGGAGGGGGCGTCACTGCCGACCCGCGTCAGGATCTGCGGGGGCGGCGTGGAGTCGGGGGGCGGGGGTGGGCGAGAGGCCGCATCTGTCCTGTGCGCTAGTAGAGCCGGGCTCGTTCCAATACCGCCTGGGGCTGAACCCCCAAGTGTCGGTTCCCAGGACGCTTCAGCCCTTCCCGACGCCCCGCTATTGGTTTCGGAGGCTCACCGCTGTGCCGCCTCCGGCCGGCGCCGCAGTCCGCATGCGGCGCGCGGGCCTGGGCGCAGGCCGCTCGGACCTCGGCCCCCAAGGCTCCCGTGCAGCCGACAGCCTGTACCCCCACCTGGCTGACCAGCGCCCCTCGCGGTTCATCCACGAGGGTCACCCGTCTCTCACCCCGCTCTGCGGCCGCCCCTCCGCCCAGGACCGCTCCTTTCTTCAAACCCTGCAGGTCGGTGGGGGGGGGGGGGGGGGGGGGGGGGCTCGCTCAGGGGTGCTTCTGTCCCCCAGGGCCGGGGGTGCGTGGTGCTGGGCTCCCCAGGCCTGCCCACCTCCTTGGGGACTCTGCGGCCCTGGCGGCTGGAGCGACCGCTCAGCCCGGGTTCCGCCTGCCGGCGCGCTCGCAGTGACTTCAGAGCGCGGCCAACTTGCTAGAAGGTGACTCCGTCTCGAAGCTACAACAGCCCGCTCAGGAAAAGCCCAAGAGTTCCTGTCGGAGACGCGCCTGGAGCCCGGCGCGTCCCCAACCCTGCGCTGGAGCCCCGAGGGCGGCGGGCAGATCGGCCTGCACAAAACAGAAGCTCCGCACTGTCGGGTCTTTAAGACCTGAAGTCTGAGATTTTTCAGCCTGTGACTGCCATGGTTTTAAACTCGCCCGTTTTTGACATGTAAATTGCCATTAGCTGATGGAAACGCTGGTCTCTGGGCATGCCAGGGCGCTTTCAGAGGGGCACAAGCTGACCGGGGGAATGCACTGTGGCCGTTACCCAACAGATCCATTCACTGAGTGATGCACGTAAGGCCTTGTCACAATACTCAGAAACAGCGATAATCAAACGCACTTTTCTGTCGGCCACCGTAAGGCGCTCCTGAGAAAGTTTTCCAAGGAAATCACACTGCACTGTCGTTCCCTGGGCTGTGGCCTTTTACTGTGAAGTGCAGTGTTTGTTCAGGGAAAGAAAGCCCTAGACCTTGACTCCCACGGCGGCGCGGCCAGAGCCAAGGTCAGGCCCCCCTGAAACCCCAAACCCCTTCTCCCCCACTGGGATTGAGTTTGGTTTTATTCGCAAGCAAAGCCACAGACCTACTTCATACTCTGAGAGCACCCCAGAGCACCAGGGGGCTGACCCACTGTTTCTACAGGAAACTCTTTGCAGCCCAAAATGCTTTTCTTTTCTCAGATGCCTGTTGCCAGTTCCTGTCCCGACGTCATACGCCTAGAAGCTCCCTCATGAGCCCATGCTTCCCACTCCCAAGAAATCATGGTTTTTTTAAATGATTTTATTTATTTACTTTTAGAGAGAGAGGAAGAGGAAAAAGAAAGGGATAGAAACATCAATGTGTGGTTGCCTCTCCTGCGCCCCCTACTAGGGACCTGGCCAGCAACCCGGGCATGTGCCCTGACCAGGAATGGAACCACCAACCCTTTGGTTTGCAGGCCGGCACTCAGTCCACTGAGCCACACCAGCCAGGGCAGAGGTCCCTTTTTGTTGGAAGACTGGGGATGTATTTAGCGTTAAATGTTGGGGCTGAGAGGTCGGCTTTGTCAGCAACAGGAAATAAGGCAGGGGCCCTAGCAGAAGGGTCCGGGGTGTGGTTAAATGTGGAGACTGGACACCGGTTCACTCCCACTCCTTCCTGAAACGCAGCTGAAACGCCGCGTTCACACTGTGCAGAGAGGACACACCTGTGGAACAAAGACACAAGGAGCAGGAGGCCACAGCCCAGCCGGGGGGCTGGCGCCTGCGTGGTGGGCAGGTGGGAGGCCGACCAGGGAAAGGTGATGGACACACACAGGGGACGAAGCCGGGAGGGGCCTGGGCAGGACACTCCACACACGGGACAGCAGGCCACGCCCCCAGCCCGCAGGACCACGAGGACCGGTCTGAGGACAGGAGACATGAACGGCGACCGACCTGGTGGAGGGAGCTCAGGACACTGGACCAGCCACAGAACTCACGGAAACTGTCCTTCAGGTGCAGCGGGGGGCGCGTGTCAGGAGAAAGGGCAGGGAGGTGAAAGTGGTGGTCCAGGGGAGTGGCCCCCACGAGGCAGCAGGCCCCGATTTTCCTGTGGAGCCCACAGAACACGCAACTTTTAAAGGTCACGGGCAGGTACCTGGAAACAAATGTGAAGTTAGGTAAACAGGAAGCAACGGAACAGGCCCAACACTAGAGCAGTGAGAACAGTGTCCGGGAGAAGTCCAGGTGTTCCGGGGACGCACCCGAGGGACTCAGACCCGCTCCAGACTCTGCCTGCTACGCGCCGCCCAGGGCGCTTACCACGGAGCATCGCGTCAGCACACGACACGTCTGGTGACGGGAGGCTCCTCTGCCCCCCCTGCAGGGACGGCTGGGGCCCAGGGAGCGGCACTGCAGACCTAGGAGCCCATGTCACCTGGGAAATGTTCGCTGGGCACGAGGCGGCCTGCCGGGAAAGTGCTGCACGCACGAGGCCACCTCTGCTGCCGAGATGCCAGTTCTCTGCTCCTGTCCTCTGAAGTGACCGGCCAGGCAGAAGCACCGACCCCACACACAGCGGCATGACGTTTCTGTGGGCGGCACAGGGCTGGTTTGGGGGACGTGGGTGTGGGCCCTGCTGGGTCCTCACAGGCTGGCTGGTTGGTGGGAGGACCGGTTCCCAGCGGGGACAGCGGCCGTGAGCAGTCGGAGCTCTGGTGGCCGGTCCGGTGCCCACTCACCACACTTCAGAAGCCCCTCAGGGCCAGCATGCTCCTCGTGAGTCTCTGTGTGATGTGACACCCCACTGGGACGGGCACTGGATGCTCCACATGAAAAATCCACTGGGGCCGGACACGCCAGGCATCCCTGTCGGCCCTGGTGTGGGACACAGGCAACAACTTACAGGAAATAGTTCGAGTTCCCCAGCTGTTTGGTCTTCCCTTCGGTCTGAGTGGAGGAGGGCGGGAGGCCAGGATACCAATCCTGCTTGCCCGGAACCTGGCCACGGCCACTGTCTCCTGGGGTTGCTGGCGCCCAGGCAGGGCAGACACAGAGTCTGGTGAACGGCCAGGCCCCTCCTTCTGCAGGGAGGGGCGCAGACCTGTGGTAAGGAGGTGCCTGAGCAAAATGGAAGCTGCAGCTGGCGGCAGAGACAGAACCAGTCACCAGACCTGACCGCTAGCTCACCTGGGGAAGCGAGGCTGCTGTCTCCGCAGCGGGCAGCCCCGCAGATGGAGGGGGCTGCATCCAGGGAATGCGGTCACCTGCTGTGGGTGGCTCGCCTGAGGTCGGACCTACCTGTGACTTTTCAGCTACCTCGTCAGTAGGCCCTGCACAGACGACACAAACCAGGTCGTATCTGCTATTCTTGCCATCTGTCTGTCTGCACTCGCGGAGGGCTGGAGGCTGCGGGGCCCCAGAGGACACAGCCCCAAGGGGTCACCCCAGCACTGGCCCAGCCAGCGAGGGGAGGGCAGAGGCCCAGGGCAGCTGCGGGAGCCAGGCGCCCCCAGGTGCCGTCTGTGACTCAGGGGACCGAGCGCCGTCTTTGTCTCCAAGACGTCTTCTGCCATGAGACCGTGGCATTTTCCTTGCCAGATATCACTGTCCTGTCCCTGCTGGCGCTCTAACTCAGAGCTGCCGGTGTCATGCTGAGACGCATGTGCCCACAGCGGGGAGAAAACGGGTGACGCTCACACCGTGACACAGCCGAAGCAGCACGTGAGGAAGAGACTGGCCCGCCTCCAGCTCCTCAAGCAGAAGGACGTGTCTCAGACAGGACCACTATCCCCAGGGGCTGACCTCAGGACCCTGCTTCAGGGGCAGAGACTTGGCAGGGAGGTCACAGCCCTGCTGGGCTGCCTCTCCAAAATGCCTGCCGGTCACACAGGAAGAGAAGCAGGGCCATCAGCACCAGGAGTCTGACTTTCCTCCAGACTCCTGCAGGAGAAGGGCCCAGGGTAGAGGTCAGGAGGGCCGGATGCCCTCAGGGTAGCCAGCACAGCCTGCAGACAGGAGGGCCGGGTCCCCCAGGGTCCTGGCGGAACACAGAGGCCCTGGGGCCTGTGGAGCAGAGGGCAGAGTGGCTGTCTCCTCGCTGCCCCGCAGGTGAGGCCCCGCTCCACCTCGTAGACAGGGGTGCATGCTGGGGTCCGGGCGGGCTGTGGGCGTGTCACTGTGAGCCCAGGGCACCCACACTGGGTCAGCTGAGCCAACTCTCGTCCTTCAAAGGGAGCTGCGCCTGTGTGGGAAGCAGGTCTCTGGGAGCGAGACAGGCCCCCCAGGAGTCAGCTGTGGGACCTAGGGAGCAGGACTGGGAGTTGAGGACATGCCGCCCTTTGGTCAGGAGAAAGGTCAGGCTCTCCCAGACAGAACTTGAACCAGGGTCCTCAAAAGCCCTGCCAACTGGCCCCGACTCTGGGGTCAGGGCTGCCTGTTCAAACCGAGCGAAGCCCTCACTGCGCCAGCTCAGCTGGAGTCCCCACTGGCCACCGCAATCTGATCACACCCCTGCAGCCCAGGCAAGGTCTGCTGCCCCGTCCGCTCTTGGCAAGGGTCCTTGAAGTCAGTTTAGCGGGAGTCCTGCTACGGTCTGTCTGTGCCCCCTCAAAGTCACCTTAACTCCTTACCCCAAGAGGAAGGGCCAGCCCCCACTCTGCATGCCACCCTGGGGCCCAGCTGCGGCTGGAGGCTCTTCTAACCCCCCACTGGCCCAAGCAGGAGGCTGCGAGCTGGACCGGAACCACGTGGGATGAGCGTGAGGGACCCTGACTCTGGCCAGTGGCACACCCAACCAGGGGCCGAGTTAGAGGACCACCCAGTCCCGGCAGGGCGCTCCCACTGCGGAAGGCAAGAGAACTGGAAGTCCCTGCATCAGAGGACCTGCCCAGCCTGGCTCTGCCCCCACGGCAGGTGTGCCCATCGGGGAGCACAAGTCAGGGGCAGCACAGCGAGGGGACGGCTGGGGCCTCGCACCCGACTCTCCCACAGGGTCTCAGACGCACCGATGTGCCGGTGTCTCCTGTCCTCTGCGGCCCCCTCCATGCGCGCAGCGGGCCCAGTCACCTGGGCCAGGTGGGAGTGAGCAGCGCTGTGCCCAGGGGCCCCAGGACAGCAGTGCAGGCCGGAGGGAGCCCAGCGACATGAAGGTGGGCGGCATCAGCTCGCCTGCTCGGGCACTGCCGTCCTCCTGCCCCGGCCGCACTGGGTCAGCACTGGGACGTGGGCGGGTGGCACAGTCCTTCTGCAGGTCGGATGAAGACCTGGCTGCGCATCCAAACTGTACCCCGAACTGCGCACAGGCCCGGCCGCCACGCCCACACGTCCAGACTGAGAAGGCTCACAGTGTGTCCACACTCACAGTGCAGGGAGCGGCCCTGATAGGCAGGAGCAGACACTGTTCTCAGGTGCCATAAACATCAGCCACTTTATTTTACTTTGTTTCCTGTCTGTCTCCAGGGCAGCTGTCCCTCCCCACCCCCCAACCCCCCCGATGGGGAAGCACAGGGATCTCCACAGGGGCAGACTTCTCTGGGGAAGATCCCAGTCACTTCTCTGGGTGCGATAAATAGGGGTCACGTGGTCAGTCCAGTCCAGCGAAGGGGTGACGAGGAGGCAGTGTTTTGAGAGCCTCCTGCCATGTGACGGGCACAGGCCCCATTGATTTCATCACCAACACGTGTCTCCAAAAACGCTTTGAAGGCGCTTTCAATAAATAAACTCTTGGTTTTAACTGCACACTTGTGGCAAGAACAGTGCTTGCATACAGGTGCTGGGTGGGTGTGCAAAGCCCACCCGGGCTGGCCACCAGGCAGTGAGAAGAGTGTGTATTGGGGGGGGGGGTGCCTGCTGAAGGTGCAGGGAGCTCAGGGCTGCAGCCCAGCCGGGCAGCTCACTCCCTTGTCCTGAAACCCACGAGAAAACCAGCCTGGAGCTGGGGCCTATCTGGGCACCTGCTGGCAACTTAAGTCAATGGAAACGGCTCTGAAAGGCAGGCAGTCCCGGTTAGTAAATATCCTCCTTACTCTGTTGACTGAGCAATACAATCTGAATAAAAATTCTTGTTTTACGGCGGCCTCCTTGACAAAAAGTGTAACAGGATTTCCCTCTCGTCTCCTCCCAAGCTCCACAGGCGGATGAGCCACTTCCAGGCTGGCTGCTCCCTGGGGAGCTCCTCCCACCAGACAGGAAGCTCCTCCCACCAGACGGGAAGCTCCTCCCACCAGATGGGGAGCTGCTGCCCGGCCTGGACCCGCCCACCTGGGAAGTGCTGGCAAGTTGACTGGTCACAGCAGTTTCTACCTTAGGGCAATTCTTCCCAACCGTGACTTCTGGATAAGACTTGTAGCAGCTGAAGGTGTGACTGGGAAGGATCCAGCCAGCTTGACCACACCCGCAGCTGGCAATTCTGGCCTGTGGTCACCCGGTCCAGGCTGACCTTCAGGCCCGGCAGGCTGGGTCCCAGAGCACTGCAGCAGGCAGGAGCGGCAGGACAGCTGCCCTCGGGGCCCTCGCCCTTCCTGACGAGCAGCAGGCCACCGTGGGTGAGCGCCCAGAACAGACAGCGGCATCGGCACGGCAGGGCCCCGAAGGCATTCGGTGGCACCTGGGAAACCCACGCCAGTGAAACAGCGAGTCAGTCTGCAGTCTCTCGGACCCGCTGCTGGACACACAGCACCCACGGCTCCTTGCCACGCCGTTGCCCTGCGGGACAAAGGGGGGACGTGACCGCCCTGCCCAAGTGGCTACTGCCCCTTCTTCTGGGGTCCGTGGCCGTTGGTTTTGGGGAGCATGCTGTTCCCAGGCTGCGGCGGCGCAAAGTTCCAGTCCACCGGGTGGAGGAGCTGCTGCGTCTTCTTGTGGGTCCAGTACGGGTTGAGGACGAGCGTCAGCAGCCCCATGCCGCACAGGAAGAGCGCCAGGTGCGGCGGGTGCAGGCTGCGGCGCAGGCCATCCCAGTGCCGAAGGCACACCCACCACATGTGGTAGGACAGCACCATGCGGCAGTGGAACATGTGGATCATCAGCCACTGGTTCGCCCTCCAGAGCAGTGAGTCCGACCAGCCAGCCTGTGGGGACAGGACACAGCATCAGCGTGGCGTCAGCCGGCACCCGGGCCGCTGCCAGGCTCCCCACCCGGCCTGCCGCTCAGCACCCTGCTCCGTCTCCAGGCACTGAGCGCTCCCAGGCCAGGCGGCTGGGCTTGCGGCCCCAGCTCCCGGGCTGCAGCCAGAGACGAGGCTCAGAGGCCAGGCGCGCAGGGTGAGAGGCACTCCTGTTCCTGCAACCCTGGCGGCCCCGACACAGGCCACAACGAACCTGCCTTACCCTCACTCTACATTCATGTTAAGTTGGCACACGCCGTCTCCCAACCACCAGGTGCTTCCCCCGGATGCCAGTGCTGAGTTTGGCTGGCACAGGTCACAGTAAAACATGATGGGCCTGCCATGGCTGGTATGGCTCAGTGGGTTGAGCACCAGTCTGCAAACCAGAGTCACCAGTTCAATTCCCAGTCAGGGCTCATGCCTGGGTTGCAGGCCAGGTCCCCAGTAGGGGACGCAGGAGAGGCAACTACACACTGAATAGGAAAACAACATGACGGCTTGTCCTGGGCTCCAGCCCTGGGTGGGTTAGGACTGCAGGCCTCCTGTGTGCCCTGCACGGCTGCGATGTGACTCAAACCCCCACAGAGCACAGCACCTGCTTGAAGGGGACAGACGTGGAAGGAGGCCAAGCTGAGACTGTGACAGTGGGAACACTCCCAGCTGCCGCTGTCACTTGTTCCGTCCCACACCTGGCACCCCCCTCCCCCAGAGGTGCCAGTCTCGGGGAGAGACAGCTGAGTTCAGACCCACAAGCTGGCAGTGGCCGGCGAGGCCCAGACTTGGTGACACGGCACCACCGTGCCCATGGTACCGTGGGCTCTGCTGTGAGGTGCAGGTGCCTCCCACCCACAGCAGCGTTCCGCAAGCAGCCAAAGCGGCAGGCAGGCTCCTGGGGGCTGTGGGGCCCAGTCCGGAGGTGCTGCCGGCCCTGGTGACGTGGCAGCTGGCAGCAGGTGCCTACGGCACAGTGGCCAGGGACGACAGGGACTCTTTCAGGACTTTTTCTAATAGAGCGTGGCTCTCCACGGCTGTCTCTGTGCCACGTTCGTGACGACTCATGGAGAGAGGTCACTGGACACGCCATCTTGAGTGTCGGGGACACGGCACACTTGTGGGGTGCTCATCCACACAGATGCTCCTCGACATGCGTGGGGCCACACCCGACACACCTGGCGTGAGCTGGGAATTCAGGCAGCCCGGCCTCGCCCACCCTAAAGATGCCGGGGACACAGCATCCCACCCGGTGGCCGCACTGTGTGCCATGCAGTCAGGGCATCTGCGCTGGTGGTGGGGGCTGCCAGCGGCACGCAGAGGGCGGGACCGCAGCACTCGCCAGGGGGCCACCGCCGGTCCGACCCTGAGGTCTGGTCTCTGCTGGGCGCGTGCCACTGTCTCGCTGTCATGAAGGCCTGCACCACGGACCCTCTGTCACAAAACGGTGCCCACAGTGAGTCCAGGGAACAGCCATCACCACACACAGCCATCACACTTCTGGTGGACTTGAAGATCAGCATTTGCACCCCTACTGCTCCCCTGAAACGAGCCACAGAGCTCAGGGCCAGCTCAGAGAGAGCCTGACCTCACTTCCTGCCCTTGCCTAAATGTTTCCCGCTGTCCCCAAATTCCTGTGAACTAATTCCAGCCACCACCATGGGACCTGGACTTCCGTCCTTCAAGTGTGGCACTGAAGCACCGTGACATGGGCGGGCTGGGTCTCTGGCCGGTCGTGGGGCCTGTGTCACGTCGTATGAGCCGGTCCCTCCCGACCAAACTGGGGACATGGGCCTGAACCACCAACAGGACTCGGACTGAAAATGAGTCCCCTGGGGACTGGAAGAGGCAGAACAACCCCGGGTCAAGTTTTCAGCTCACGGAAAGGAAGCCAGCCGTCTCGCCTCATCCCCCTTGGATGAGGGCGAGAGGACACTTTCCAAGATTCCCCACCTTCCAGTGATGGACGAAACGAGTCGGCATTTCCACCGTCGAACGAACAGGGAGGGAAAGTCCCTCTTCGGTTACGGGCTCTACCCGGCTCCAGGCCCAGCTCGCTGGTAAGGAGGCAAGGGCTCACAGCGGACTCACGCTGACCACGTGTCACATTTCAGCTGAATTTACCACTAAGTCCTAAGTTCCTCGTTTTACCCTCAGCTGAGGATTTTTTTCTACTATTGGCTGTCCTGCTCCTGACCTGACGACATTCTCTGTCATTGCTTTTAGAGGGAGAGGGAGAAACGGGGTCGCGTGGCTGGCTCCCACGTGTGCCCGGACAGGGGTTGGACACGCAGCCCAGGCGTGTGCCCTGACCCAGGCTCACACCTGCCACCTATTGGTGCACAGGGTGGCAGCTGAGCCGACCGGCCATGGAAAATCACTTTTTTATAGCAGATTTTTACATCTGAGTACAGAAATTGTTGGAAATCACGACCCTTGAAAGGGCCATTGTTTTCACCACAAAAAACACCCAGATGGAATTCAGCTGACTGAGTGTCCCTGGAGTGGACACGGTGTGAGCTGGGACGCAGGCCGTCCACGCGGCACTGCCCGCTCAGGCCGTGGCTGTGTGGTGGGCACTGGGCTGCTACCGGGTTCTGCCCTGCGTACTGAGTGTCTCATCGGCAACTGGGGATGAAGGCGAGTCTCCTGTGTCCTGACATGTGATGTGAACCCATCCCTTCCGTTGCGACTCTGTCCCCGCGTCAGTGACAGTCTAACTTTTTTGTGTGCAGAGGTTTTCAATTCCAGAAGTAACTGCGATTTACAATAAGGATGGGTTACCAGTTATAAAAGCAACTGGGGCCAGGATGGTGAAGAATGACCAGGGCCGCTAGGCTCAACACAGACACATTCACGGCCAAGGGATGAGCCCATGGCCTCAGGGCGCGCCGACAGGGAGGAGTAGAGAGAACGCAGGGTGCCTGCCGCACGGAGAACTCCCCAGATGCAGGAAGGAGTCACTGCAACTCGGACAACACGGGTGAACCATTAGGACACAGGGCTTGGGGCCGAGCGTGGCCCTGGAAGGCAGTGCCACGTGCCGGTGCTCACCGGGGGCCTGCAGCAGCCAAGGTCCCAGCATCCCAGCCGGGCCCAGCAGTTCCCAGGGGACAGGGACAGGTCGGGGCAGGGAGGGGGTGGCAGTGAGCTGCCAGCAGGGAGGCACAGAACCCCATGCAGAGCAGGGGCCTGACGTCTGGACGTGGCTGTCATCCACCGTGTGTTCCTGCAGTGTGGCCACCAGGGCAGGCCGCAGGTTTAACACACAGTGCAGAGTGCGGCACTCGTCACAGACAGGTGTAGACAGAGATGCCATTTTGATTTTTTAAAAAAGCATTTCAAAGAAAGGAAAAGCTGAGCCTTCTAGGACCCACAAACACTGTCCATGGGGCCCCAGGGTCGCCGAGTGTCTTTGGTCCTGAGGCCAGAAGCCTGAACAACTCGTCTGCAATGAGTCAAGTGGAACTCCCAGAGCGGGGCTGGTTCTGACACAGCACCCAGTCTGCGGACGGCGCCTTCTTCTGTTTTTTCAGTCCTCACCCAAGGACCCGTTTACTGGTTTTAGAGGCAGAGAGGAAAACATTGACTGGTCGCCTCCCACACCCGCCCTGACTGGGGATGGAATGTACCCTGACCGGGGAGGGGTGAGCGGCCCTCTGGGGCACAGGACGAGGCTCCCAGGGACTGAGCCGCTGGCCAGGGCTGTCTGCGGACGCTCACAGGTGATGCTAAAAGCTGGACAGGAGCCCGCGGCTCCCACTCCTCCACTGTTGACGCCACAGGAGCTGCCCCAAGCACAGCACACTCACCTTCAGGAGCATCCAGGACACGCAGGTGAAGGGGGTGCTCATCTCTAGCAGCAGGGTGGCCATGGCCAGGTAGTGGCCGGCCTGGAGGTTGACCAGCAGCCCCAGGAACCCCAGGAAGGCGAAGAGATGGTGCAAGGCCAGGAAGGGGTCGAAGGTGCGGAAGCGCAGGTTGGAGAGGTGGAGGGCCGAGTTCTCGAAGAAGAAGAAGCCGGTGGCCGTGGCGATGTGGAACCAGGACCAGCCCTGCTGGGCATGCGCTTTGTCAGCGTGCAGGACGGGGTCCCCCAGCAGCGCCCACAAGCCTGCTGCCGTGCTCTGCACCCCAAAGACGGCCCGGGTGGCCGCCAGGTTCCAGAAGACCTTCTCCTTGGCCACCAGAGCGCGGTAGGTGGCGCTCAGGGAGGAGGACAGCTGGTGGCACACGAGGAAGACGCCCAGGTAGGAGGCAAAGCCGGCGACCGCCAGCGTCGAGCGGACCTTCCACGAGGTATAGTCCAGGTCGAAAACACTCTCGGACGCCCCTCTGTCACTCGCAGGGTCCATTGTCGCAGCCATCAAAGGCGTCCCGTGGCCGACGTGGAGCTGGGGGCCCCTGCTGCGTCGGGTCCAAGGGAGCAGCCGTCTCTTGGGCCCTCACACGTCCGCCTCCGACCTGCAAAGGGGGCGGAAGGACAGCTCACTGCCGGGCTCTGAGCGGACGCGGGCACAGTGCGCGGCCCAGCCCCGAGCCCACTCCAGTCAAGGACAGATCTGGCTGTTCCCTGTTCCCACACACGGTCACAGATGCTCGAACGTGGCAGGGAGCTGCTCCCTGGTAACATGCAAGAAAGAAAAGCACAGGCATGTGGCGTGGCCATGAGCACGGCAGGCACATGGTTCTGACCCAGGGCAGGATGACAACCTGCCTGACGACCATGTCAGAACGTAAGCCTTTGCAGCCAGAACCCAGGACGAGAGCCCTGTAGCCCGGCGGCCCAGTCTGCATGGCAAAGCTGCTGAATAACAGCACCAGGGTCCCCTTAGGCCAACAATGGACACAGCCAGCCAGCCTGGGGGGGCCTGCAGGTCCTGTGGCTGCACCCCAGCCTCAGACGTGCCCGAAAGCCGGCCTGAGCACCGTGGAGGAACAGGTACCCGGGGCTGAAAGCAGGCCTGGCACGCAGTAGGTGTTCCCGCCCTTTGGTGCCGCCACAGGAGTCCCGGTGAAGGGCAGGCTCATCTGTGAACCAGCTACCCGCCCTAGCTCAGTGCCCACCACAGGCAGTGCACGGCCGGACCTCGAAGGGCGAGGCTGCCCAGCTGCGGGTTGTTGGCAGAGAGGGGACAGACGTCGATGCAGGGCGTCCCGCCACCCCTGCCCTCATCCCCATGCAGATACCGCCACCCCTGGCCACGTCCTTGCCAGGGACCCCTGCCCCTCCCCAGACCACGTAACTCGATGGCTGTCTCTGCCAACTGGCCCCTGGACTAAGCACACAAAGGAGGACCTGGCTCGGGGCCACACAGACACTGCACCGGTACCGTCTCAGTTTCTCCCGGTGGCTGCCCGCCAACCAGGAAAATCCTGGGGGCGTGTTTACCTCGTCTCAAAATCCACTCAACTCCAGGAGTCAGTAACGCTCCTTCCCAACAGCGTCAACACAGACGCTGGCTCTCTCGCTGCCCTTCTAGTATTTCTGCCAGCACACGCCACACACTCCTCCCCGTGACCGGGGTCTGAGAAGCACGGACGTGTGGGACACGGGCGTCACGGTTTCTTTCCAAAACACCGAGGATGTTGCTGGCCTCCAGGTGAGGTCGTCCCAGGAGCCCCGCCTGCCTTCCTGAGAACCCCAGAAACCACTGTGGCCTGTCTCCCCTTACTCTGTCCCCAACCCCTGTGTGCCCCCATGTGGTCCGCTGGGGCCCTGGGCTGTGGCCCCCCAGAGTGCGATGTGCAGCACCCGCCTGTGGCTGCCCTGAGGACCCTCTCACAGGAGAACACACGACCCCCTGCTTCTGCTCTCAGCCCCCGCCAAGGCCCAGGGTTCGGAGAACCTTCCGTGAAGGTCCGAAGCCGGGAGGGGAGGCAGCCTTCCAGCGCTGCACGCAAAGGCACTTCACCCTTAGGAGCTGGACAGTGACGCTAACAGGGCTGCCTGCCCTGTGCAGAACCGTGCCCTGGGCCCAGACACCACTCCTCCCGACTCCTCTTCCTGTGCCCCTCCCCAAGTCAGTCACGAGATTGGGCAGTTCCCATTTTGCCACAACTGCATCAACAGCTCTTGGCCAAGCCACCGAGCATCTGTGGAGCCTCTGCCTACCACGGGAGAGCCCTGCTCTGCACGGGGCTCGGTGGGTTGGAGCATCGGCCCGCGCTCCAAAGGGTGCAGGTTCGATCCTGGTCAGGACACAAGCCCAGGATCGATGTTTGTCTCCCATTCTTTTCCTTCCCCTCTCTCCAAAATCAGTAAGAATATCCTCGAGTGAGGCTCAAAAAATACACTTTAAAAAATAAAACAAATAATGGGAGCATCCCCGGGACTCTGAAAAGCAGACTAAAACCTCGACACCAGCTATGCCAGGGACAGCACTGAGCACTGGGCTGTGGCGTGTTGCGGTGGGAGGGGCTGCGGGGCGGGGGCCAAGAATCAAGGCTGGTCCAGCCCTGGGAATTCCGGATCGTGGTTCTGCCACTTAGGAACTAAGAAACCAGGTTTCTTCACGCACGGGCCCCCAGGCCTGCCCCCAGGAACCAGAACCAAGCACGTAGAGCGAGGCCCCGGTTGCTGACATGAAACATCGGCTGCATGCCTGGCACGCCCGCCCAGGCCATTCTATCTCCATTAACACGCAATGCTCTGCTTCTCATCTGCCTGGAGAACTGAGGCTTGGTCATTTGCCAAATCACAAAGCTGCTTCCAGGGGGCCTGCATGGTGGCGTGGCGAGGATTTCTGTCCCAGTGCGTCCGCCTCCCTGCATAGCTGCTGCTGTCTCTCCTTCGCTCCCCACACCTGTGGGATGTGCCCTTGCGGGGCCGCCTCCAGGGCCTCTGCCTTCACTGCCCAGGAGTGCGGCGGCGGCCTGGCTGGGGTACTTGAGCACTTGGGTGGTGCCCAGGTGCTTGGGTGGGTACAAACTGCCGGACTGGCATGACCTCCAGTCGCCCCTGGACCTTAAACCTTGTGACTCCGAGAGGGTGGTCCAGCCCCTCCCTCCTCCAGGCCAGCCTAGTTGACCCACAGCACCCAGAGTCTTCCCCAGAGCCTCAAATGTCAGCCAGATGCCACAGCCAACCAAGCGCCCAGTTACCCCGCAGGGACCTGAGAACACGCCTCTGTGAGCCTCTTCTCTCCACCCAGCAGCACAAGCCAGTGGGGCGCTGGGGGCAGGGGCAGAGGGCAGGGAGGGGTGGCTGAGTGGACCACCCAGGTGAGGGGTGGAAGAGCGGAGCCCACAAGACGAGGAACACTGACGGACCGCCCTGACTCCTGAGGATGCGGGAAAGGGATAGAACGTGGATCCTGTCTCTGGTCTGCTTGCTTCTGGACCAGGAGTGGTTGCCGGGTGGCCAGATGCCCCTAGACGAGGGTGGGAGGGCCAGGGCACAGTGGTGAGGCCCAGGAAGGGCGGGTGGCAGATGGTGCCAGCACTCTCAGTGGCTCACAGAATGGGCTCCCAAGCCTCAGAAATTCGGGAGAAACATGTCCTCCCAAAGGCATACGGCTGTGAAAAAGCGAGATGGGCTTCCGGGTCCTCTGGCCTCTGGGTCACCGTGCGGAAGGCAGTGCCCTATCTCAACCACTGCAGGCCGGGGCGGGTCTGACTCGGAAGCAGAGATACAGGCGAGCCACTGCCGGGAAGGGCCCACCCACTGGGCGGGTGGAGGGGGCCAAGCAGGCAAAGGGAAACAACTCTCTCCAAAAAGCCAACACTTGTTACCCCTTCACACCCCATAGCTGCCCCCCCACTCAGATACCTGCTCAAACCTCCTCCCTGCGTGGGCCCCACACACGCGTTTTCGGGTGAGCTGGTGCTGTCGCTGCGGGTCTCTTGGGGTCTGGTTGGCAACCCGACCAGGGAGGCACACGTGGCAGGAGCCAGGGCCACAGGGGCAGCCCCTCTGGAACCTGGCCTGGGCCTCAGGAGGCCCTGTGCTGCGGGGCCGCGTCTCAGGCACGCACCCGTGGAAGCGGCCGGCCATCCGGGAGAGGCAGAGCCCCAGTTCCTCCTCCTGCTCTAGGCACTCACCCGACCACATCCCTCTCAGGCACACGGGTCACAGGGACATGGGTCACCGCCACGAGGGCCTTGCCTCAAGACCCAGAGTTAAGGGCCTCTTCCTGCTAGGCTCCTCACCCTGAAGGCTGACGCACAGTTCTCACTGTCCCCTCCCCGGGAACCCACAGACCCAGCAGCACCGGCTCATCCTATGCCTTCGCTGTGCAGGCTTCAAACCCAGGGCCCCTCATCTCAGCGGAGAGGGACATGAAGGCAGGCGGGCGGAAGTCCCGACCCCAACTTTTCTTTGGGAAGAGTTTGCTACAGGACGCACGGCCCTCTTCGGTAACCTTTGGTGGTTTAAGCCGTGGGCTGCCCTACACACAGCACTGCTACAACTAGTGAGAGCTTCAGTTCCAGAGTTGCAGTGTGACCGGGGCCCTCGCCTCCAGGACGGGGCTCACCCTGACACACATCTGTGAGCCTCAATCGCTGTGGACACCAGTGTGTTAGGTAACATAACTGATCCCAAACTTGGGAATGAAGTGAAACCCAGGAAGAAGGGTTGTGTGCTCTAAGTCCCCCCAAAGGACTGTTCAACACCCCCAGGATAACCTGGCTTGTTGGGGAAATTGCCCACCCACACAACTGACCACCAACTGAGCCAGCAGACTTGGTCTGTGCCTGTGCGATCAGGGGTTCACCTGGGCACAAGGTGTGACTGCCTTCTGTCCAGAAGGAGATGCCCACAGGGGCTCCTCAGCATCCCAGTCCCCCAGGAGCCTCATCTCAGCCCCCCTCTGACCCCCCTCTGACCACCTGCTCTGTCCTCCTGCTGGGCGCTTCCCCAAGGAGCTACCAGCGCCCAACAGGAGCTCGCAGCTGCCCGAGGAGCTCTGTTTCTGGCATTCGGACAGTTAACTCGGGCAGCGGGCAACAACATATCTTGCCAAACCAAAGAAATACATGCTCAGTGAACAACATTCAGGAAACAAAAGCAAGCCCAGAAACAGAAACGTAGAAACCTGTGGTCCCGCTCAGCTCTTCGAACTATTACTATCCCTTGCCGCCTACTGGGTCTCCTAAATGGAAACTCTAACTTTTTTTAGGGGAAGGGGTCCGCGGACACATGCCGCCTTGACGGCATCCACGACGAGGCTGCCCCGTGAAGCCTCCGCTCCAGTGACCCGGGGTCGGTGTCCCGGGAGGCGGCACGGGCCCTTTGTACCTACTGCCCCAGGTGCGTGCCCAGCGTCCCCGCAGACCGACAGCCGGCTGTTTCAGCTGCAGTGGCTCAGAACTGCCCCAGGGGGCGCTGCTTCTCCGCGGAAGGCACCCCGCGGGGCTGTCGCCGCCGGCGGAGGCGGCACTGGCCAGTCCCTCGGTCCAGCGCTGCGGCCTTTCCCGGCCCCACCCACCCCAGGATCCCCGGAGCTCTCGCCCCCATCCCGGCCCCGATCGTCCGGCGCAGAACCACGGACCCGAACCTGCCAGAACCGGGCCCACCGACCCCCCGCGGCCCCAGTCCCGCGGCGCGGAACCCCTCGACCCCGCTTCGGCCCCCGGACCCCCCAACACCCGGGCCCCACGCGCTGGGTCCTCTGCAGACGCAGCGGCCGTGCGGTGCCGACAGCGCCGTCTCGCCGCGCGGCCCAGGCGGGCGGGGGTCCGCCGGGGTCGCGCCCCCAGACCACGCGGTCTCGCGGGGCGGGAGGAGGAGCCTGACGGCCCCGGGCACGAACCACCCACAGCACTGCCCACCCCGCTCGCCCCCGGCCGGCCCATTGCAAACTCGCCCTTCGCCCTCACCTGCGGGCATCTCGCACTACAGACACCGAACGAGCGACCGCGGTCCCCGACAGGCGTCTGTCACCCGCCCCCGGCCCCGCCTCTCCCCGAACCCCACAGACCGCGGCCATCGCGACCCCACCGCTAACGCGGACGCGCATGCGCACCCTCGGGGGCGGGGCCTGCGCGCGGCGGCCGGGCGAGCCCATTGCGCCGCGTGGGGGAGCGGCGGCTCCTCGGGCGGAACCACGGGCGCGGGTGAGCTCGGGCCCCCAGGGAGCGCATTCCACCACCCAAACCTCTGCTTCTGGTCCTCGTCCCCAGCAGAGCCGGAGCCGACCCCGCCGGGACCCCAGTGACATCTCGCTGAGTCCCCTGGAGCCCGCGCAGAGACCCGGTTAAGACAGCGGCCCAGCTGCACCCAGGGCTGCCCTGGCCCCACGGGGACCTCGGTGACTCGGCCTGCAGCTTCGGTAACCCTGGAAGCCGGCGGCAGACGCAAACCCTGGAGGCGCCTGAGCATTCAAGCGCGAGTTTCACTTCCCGGGTGACCCCGTGGGCTCAGGCAGATGACCCAAGAGCTGTGGACCCCAGTTTCTGTTCCGCAGGCCCCCGAGGCTGAGTACACAAAACTCCCTAAAAAGCACTGAGCGGAGCACCGAGGGGGTGCCTCCCCTCTCCAGCTGGACCCCGAGAAACGCGAATACACCGGCTGGTGGTGCCTGCCTGAGGCTCGGGCGGGCAGGTCCCCGGCCTCTTCTGGCGCGCAGATGTGCTTCAGCCACCGTTGGGCCGCGAGGGGCCCCACCTGACTTGAGTTGGGGGGGGGGGCACGTGCACAGAGGCGGAGGACACGGCGCGCACTCCGCGCACTGCCCAGAGAATTCATGGTGTGACGTGGATGGCAGTTCGCATCGAGTGCATATTACTTAATAAAAAATAGTAATTGTGACATCCTATCGTGAGCCAGCTTTATAAACTGTGATCGAGGTTTACAAGGTCAGGTGTCCCGCCCACCACCCCATGAGGAGATATCTCGAGTGGGAGTAGTTGGTGCCCACGCCCCCCGCCTGGGTCAGCCCTCCTGTCCAGCCAGCCCAGGAGGTGGGGATGATGGCCCAGCAGCCTGGCCCAGGGCTTTGATTTGCAGCGTAGGTGGCCAGGCCTTGGAGAGCCAGGAGCCTCATCCCCTCGCAGTAAAAGCCTCGTTTTGGAGTCAGACCTTGCTCTGCCTCCCAGGCAGACCTCCCTGGAGACCCGTGGCAGCCATACCTGGAGGGGTGTTGGGCCTCTGGGCCTTCCTGGTTGGGGTGCAGAGGAGCAGCTGGCCTGGGACTGGGGACTGCTCCCGAGTCACAGAGTGTTAGGAGCTTCACCCTGAGGCTCCTCTTTCCTTGAGGCAGTCAGCACCCTGGGCATTGTGGAGTTTTACGTCTTTGTTTTGTTTTTTTGTTTGCTTCTAACTAAAAAAATGTAAGCTGCAAGAGAGTGGGACTTGGCCTTGTCCAGTTTTCCACTGCCAGCACTCAGAAAAGCACCTGGCACACAGCTGGTGACCAGTGATGGGAGGTCCCCAGTGAGGAGCACTTGGACTGAAGTGACCTTCCACCCTGCCTCTGTACCCACCCCCGGGCCACCCCGAGGCCTCTAACGGTTCAGTGAATTGAGTTAAAAATACAACAGACCTGAGATACCTGGCTTGTCTTTGCTGGGACGTGGTGTTCTTACCTACGTCTCAGGAGATAGGATGAGAGGTTTCCATGCTGAACGCCCTTTGAAAATAAAGGATCCTAAAATTATTCTGTCAGGCCAGCAAGCTGGGAGAGGCTTCCATTTGTGGCAGACCAGCTGTTTCTCTGGGGGAGGTCACGCCCTGACCCTAAGTATTGCATCAACTTGAGGCAGAATGGCACGAAGTTCAGAAAATTCCTTGGAAAGTGCAATGGGGAAGCTGGGACAACTGAACAAACTGGCTGAGGAATTTACAGCCACATACAGGTCACCAGGGTGAAAGCCCCAGGTGCCTAGTAGCAGGCGAAACCCGGGCCAGAACTCACCCCGGGGTGGCCGTTCCTCCCCTGGCAGATCATTGGCCAGGCAGTGTCGGCCCCCTGACCTTTCGCATGGCTGGTCATGCGGTCCGGATCCTCCCCTGACCTCCTCCCCCCAGAGTTGACGTTCGGAGCTCAGCTGTGTTTCAGCTGAAGGCCCCGAAGAGCAGCAGAACCAGGCAGTTGCCCCCAGGACCAGCTGCAATGACCAGTGACCTTCTGCCCTGGCGCTGACCAGTTGGTGGAGCCCAGGACCCTGAAAGGACAGAGCTGATTGAGATGTCCCCTGGGACCTCCCCCTCCAGGGAGCATGCCCGGGCCTTTCCCCTCGCCCTCTTCGTCCCCCACAAGCCTGCGTCTCCTAAACTCTAAGGGCCTTTCGAGACTTGCCACCAAGAGAGCTGAACCCACAGCCCTCTTTCCTCTGACTCTCCAGGGAACTGACAGCGGCCCGGCCCGGCCCGGTGCGGCTCACTTCTTTTAAGTTTCTAGGGGCCAAAGCAGCCCCCCGCCCAGGCTCTCCTGTTGGTTCTTCTTTCTCAATCCCTTCCTCCTTTCAGCACCCCCAGCTCTAACAAACAAACCCTCACGGTCCCCGGGACCCGTGGTGTGACATCCTTCCTGCATGAAGAGCCCACAGACTACTGGCTGGCCCAAGGCAGACCCGCTCCAGGCCCAGCCTCCTTTCTGGCACCAAATGCACCAGGATGCTGCTGTGCGCAGGCCTGGTACTGGCAGCGCCCCCCCCCCCCCTCAGGTCCCTCACCTTGCCCTCTGTTCCCGGGGGGTGGGGGTGGGGGGCTGGTGTTCTGCCTCACAAACGAGAGTTGAGCTGGGCTGAGCTAAGCACTGGTTCGCTCAGAGAGCCGGTGACTTCCGTGGCCCAGATTCAGGGCTGAGTCTTTGCCCTCTGCTACCTTGAAAGGACAGTAATAAACACAACCCTGTAAAAAGGTGTCCGGGGTGATGAACACCCACGTGGCCTGAGCCGCCTGACTCCTGCTCACCCGCTCTCCTCCCCAGCCAGGTGCCAGGTGTCCCCTGGCCTCTCACCCCCTCTCTCTCCCAGCAGGGACATGCACCTTCCCGTTGCCCTGGCACCTCCGGGCACTGGGGCCCTGCGGCCCATCTTCCACAGGTAAGAAACCAGCTCCCTGCCCCATGGAAGGAGAAGCTGGGCTTGCAACCAGAGCCCGCCAGGGCTTCCAGGACAACCGAAGCAGCCTTTTCAGAGGAGGTGGCGAGGGACAGTTCTGCCATTGTATTTTTTCTGATGACATCAGTAACACACGTTCATTGTTCATTGAATTGAGAAAAAGACCGATATTTAAAAGACATTGGCAGAGGGGGGTGAGAATTCTCCTCTGCCCAGTTCTTTCTAAAAACAAGTCAGATGGTGGTGGGGGAACGCCAGGCAGAGAGAGAGCAGGGCTCCCTGGGACGGGCGTTCCTCAGCCTGCGTGTCCAGACGCAGCTGAAGCAGGGCCAAGTTCATGCTCAACCCACAGAGGACCAGAAACAGGAAGCGCCCTGCAACACCCTGACCCAACTCCAGCGGGCCCCTCTCTGCCCCAGCCGACCTGGGGACTGTCCTTGCAGCGTTAGCCCCCAATCCGGA